GCCCCCCGCGGCGAGGCGGGGGGAGCCGCTCCGTCTCTAACAGGCCGGGCAGGGTGTGCCTCCACTCCAGGGATACCAGGGGCCCTACGCTGGACGAGAGGACCTGCCAGATGAGCTCCAGCCCGGCCCCATGGCCTCCTGCCTCCTGCCAGTTCCAGGGGAAGGAGCAAAATGCCCCAGTGGAGGCAGGTTCTGCTCGTTGGCTCGTGCGCGGAAATGAGCCGCCTAGAAAGGAAACCTGATGCTCCAAGACAGCCGTGCCCAGTGGGGAGGAGACAGAGCTGGGCTGGGACAGGACTCCCCATGGGGCTGGTGGCTTTGGCTCCCCAGCCAGCTCCTCTGCCCTTCTCCCAGCCCTTGCCCACTGGCCTGGCGCTGCGGCCTGCAGGCTCTGGGTGACCCGCAAGGCAAAGGGGCCAGCAGGCAGTGGCTCCAACCTGCCATGCCAGGCCCACCGGGGCCCCCCTTGCGAGCCCAGGCCCGGGACGCAGGCAGGGCGCAGCTCACAGACAGCCTGGCACCGGCGCTTTCCAATAGAATATTTCTCTCTATATTAAAATTACATTTCTCTTTACAAAACAATTCCCCGGCCAGCTCCGGCGGCGCCCCTCAGCGGGGGCCCAGGGGCAGCCACACGGCCACCCGGAGCCCCCAGCAGCTCTGGGCCCCGCTCCGGCTCCGCTCCGGCCCGCTCTCGCCCGCGCGGCGCAGAGAGGTGCCTGCTCCAGGTCTCACTCGGCTTCCCGGCCGGCTGCCGTCACCGCCTGCGGGAGCAAGGGGAGCAGGTGAGCGGGGGGCCTGGTCCCGAGACACAGCAGGCCCGCAGTGGCGCCCCACAGGATCGGGCCCTCTGGCTGCCCGGCCAGTCCCTCCCTGGGCTGGGTGCTGACTGCCCTTCCTCCCCCTGGGCGGTCCGGAGGCCTGGCCCCGCCCCCGCAGAATCCGTCAGGCCTGGCCCCGCCCCCTGGGGAAACACGATAATCCGTTCCCCCTGCCCCCGAGACCAGCCCTGCCAGGAATGGGACCAGGCTCTGTAGCCGCTCAGCTCCCGGCTGCCAGTCCCGGGCCAGTTCCAAGTGGGGGTGCAAAGGGGGATCCCCAGGGCCGAGGCTGTGACCTGGGGTGGGGGGAGGGGGGGAAGGCGTACTTCTGCCTGGCCGCGCTGGAGGAGTCCAGGAGGTGGCAGCTGGCCTGCTGCAGGTCCCAGTCGAAGGTCTCCAGCACCTTGTGGCACTCTGCCCTGGGCTTCAGCCCCAGGCAGAAGAGCTGCTCCACCTGCAAACACAGGGCGGGGGTCAGTGGGGGCACCCGGGGCGAGAGGGGCAGGAATGATGCCCACCCAGGCTCCCACCGTGCCCCGGGAGCTGCGCCAGCCTGGCCCGTGGGGGCGGGCTCTCCACCCCCCAGGGAGGTTCCGCTGGGCAGAGGCGGCCCGGGGGGGCTGTGCTGGCAGTACCCGGGTCGCTGCTCTGCTCCGCGTGCTGGCATCGTGCGCCCACCAGCCTTGGCATTGTCCCCCCGCGGGATCAGGACACCCAGCAGGGGGCGCTCCAGGCTCAGTGCAGAGCTCCCACTGGCCCCTCCATGCCCACGGCCCGTCCCCGCAGGCTGAGCACTGGCTCCGCTGTGCCTGCCGTGGTCACGCCGTGCACCATCTCCTGCACCTGCGGCACATGCCCCCCATGAGTGCGAGGCTCTGCCCGGCAGGCTGGGACTGCTATGGGGGAAGGCAGCTGAGGGCTCCCGGCCTATTGAGTCGGGGGGACCCCACTGAAGGGCCGGGGTGCAGGGCTGTGGCGGCGGGCGGGCAGGCTGTCCTTGGGCAGCTCCCCCTCCGCACGGGCCCTGGGCAGCCTGCCCAGGGTGGGCGCAGACGCGGCGGGAGCCCCCACGGAGCTTCTGTCACCCAGTCGCCAACCGCTTGGGATCATCACCCCCCACCCACAGATGGGGAAACTGAGGCACCTAGTGACGCCCTGTCAGGAAGAGAACCCAGAAGTCCTGAGCCCCACCTGCAGTGACTGCTGGAAGCCCAGGCTGGGGTGGTGGGAAGTAGCTGCCCCCTTCCTAGCAAAATGTCCCTCCCTGCCAGACTGTGGCAGTCCCCCCGACCCCTGTTTCTCCCACGGGGCCCCAGCAGCGAAGAGGCTGCAATCTCAGGCTGGCCCAGCAGGTGGCGCTCCAGGCCTGCACTGGCCAGAGACAGGGCCTGGTGCAGTGACTGCTGGAAGCCCAGGCTGGGGTGGTGGGAAGTAGCTGCCCCCTTCCTAGCAAAATGTCCCTCCCTGCCAGACTGTGGCAGTCCCCCCGACCCCTGTTTCTCCCACGGGGCCCCAGCAGCGAAGAGGCTGCAATCTCAGGCTGGCCCAGCAGGTGGCGCTCCAGGCCTGCACTGGCCAGAGACAGGGCCTGGCCTCAGGCCGGGATCTGGGTTCCGGAGGCGAAGGGCCCCCCCCCCCCGGGGGCG